GAGGAGGTGGCGCGGGGGGCAGTGGGGGCCCGGATGCATGACCTTCCCTCTGCCATCTGAGACAACAGCATGGACACAGCAAACACCCCTGAGAGAGCCTGTATCTTCCTTGCCCAGAAGGAAAAACTGAGGCCAAATAGGGGAGGGACTTGGTTGGCCTCTTTCTCAGGGAGGGTCTGTAACCCCACCCCAATTCTGCCTGAATCTCGGGAGCACTGGTCAAGAGCCAGATGCCCCCTGGGCCGACGGGCAGAGTGTCCAGCTTTCAGAAGGCCACGGCTCTTGCCTCCTTGGCAGAATGGGTCCTACCTGACTCCTCGGGGCAGCCACTTTCCTTGGGAGCCCCCATGCCTCCCTTAGCCCTTCCTTCTACTGTCTGGGAGCAAAGGGAGAACAGTGGTTTGCCTTTAGGCAGAGTTACTCCTAGGCCCCTTTTTGCCTGGGAACAACTGTGTCCAAATGACTTTTGAGACCAGAGGTTGAGTTGGGCTCTCAGCTCCTGTGTGAGAGAAGAGGTGATTTACCTGACTCACATCACACTGCCTGCAAGCTCCCCTAGGCCTCTGACCCCCACTGACCCACTCTCTCTGCTTCACACAGTGAGGGCCTCTCTGCAAGTCCCGCCCCTACGGAACCTCCCCATCCATCTCCGAAGCCACCCAATCAGCTGGAAGCAACAACTGGAGTAGTGGAGCAGGAAATGCGGGCTTCCTTCTCCAGGGAACACACACAGAACTGCAGGACCCTGAGGGTGTGGGCCCCACAACCCTCTCTCATATAATCTAATGCAAGGATCTCAACAGGGGTTTATGGATAAAGCTTCTGGGGCCCCTAGAACTCCTGAAACTGTCTACCCAATTAGGCAACACTCTTTTCTAGAGAGAAGAAGTGTACTCTCCATTAATTTTTCAAAGAGGTCCTTTTGTAACTCAAACAAAGATACAAGGCCCTTCCCCTTCCTGTCAGTGGTAAAACTGAGACTCAGAAAAAGATGACTGACTTAAGAGAAGCTGTTTAGAGAATTAGCCCAGAGGCTTGGTGGTCAGTCTGCCAGGTTTCAAGCCCCAGCCTCACCATTTGCTGGTTGTACCGCTTTGTGCAAGTATTTAACCTCTCTATGCCATCCTCTCTTCATCCTAACACTGGGGGTGATAACAGTACCTACTACAGTGTAAGAATTAAATGAGTCAACACATGCAAGACCTTGGGTCAGTGCCTGGTCCATTAGTAAGTGCTCTATAAATGTTAGCCAAGGTCACTGAGACAAGGGGCAAAGCTGGGCCTTCAGTCCCAGTTCTCTGAGGCCTCTGGAGGCAGCTAGAAGGTTATGTGTCCCTGAGCCTCCCAAGAAGGTGGTCTGATGGCAGCCAGACCTGTAGCTACCGATCAAGCCATCCCCAGCATCTGCCCCCTGGGTGAGCTGGGCATGTGTGGAGACTGGGGGGTGAAGAGAGAGAGGAGGTGGGGAAGTCCCAGGCTCCCTCCCAGCTGGGGGAAGGGGAGGAGGGGCTGGACATCAAAGGGTGGGCAGGCCAACTTCCCGCCCACCAGGCCAGGTGGCCTTTGTCAGGACAGGCCGACACAGTCAGGACAATGGGGTATCGTGTTCACTTTCCGGCCAACAGGAGTCACTACCGAGCCAAGGCACAGCCTGTTACATGACAAAGGGGGGGCCTATAAAGGAGGTCAGGCCGCCCCTCATTAAAGCTGGGCCTTTGTCCTGCCCCCTCCCCTGCCTTTGAAGAGGGTGGATCAGAGAGGCCTGCCTGGGGGCAGGAGGTTCACAGGCTCAGGAGCCAAACAGCAGCCACCTTCCCAACTGCTCCTGCTTCCCCTCCCCCAGGGTCAAGAGTTCAGGAAGGACCCTGGATGGGAAGGTAGGGAGCCCCCCAAGCACCAATCTAACCAAAGAGACTCTTTCAGTGCAGATGATACGTCCCACCGTTCTCTTCACTGTCGGGGGAATTGAGACCCGGAAAGGGAAGTGCCTGGCCGTATCCTTACCATCAGGGCACCTTCCCTTCTGGGGTGGGTGTGCAACCTCCGCTTGGGGTTGGGATGGGGGTAGAAGAAACCGGTGTGGCTAAAAGAGCCCTGGGATAAAAGTCTGGGGCAGCCTTGCCAGTACCCACAGTGCAGGTATCTCTGCTTCTCAGGGCTCAGTTTCCCTATCTAGAAGGACAGGCTGTGCTTCCGCAGGCTGGGATTCGGAAGGGGGAGCTGAGAGAGCAGTCGCCAGGGCCAGGGTGGTCGGAGGCTGCACCCCAGGGACCCTAACAGGGCCAGAGCAGAGGTCAGCTGGGGGCAGACAGGGGGT